ATGTGTTTGGCCTCTTACTTTCATCGTTAAGGGATTTTACATAAGGCATCTTGCGTAGGCACCCCTCAGCAGAATGGTCGTGTGGAACGCAAACATCAACACATTCTAAACGTTGCTTGTGCATTGCAGTTCCAGGCTCATTTGCCGCTTCCTTTTTGGAGTCATTGTGTTCTGACTGCGGCTTATTTGATCAATCGTACCCCTCCATCGGTTTTGCATGGTAAAACTTCGTATGAGATTCTTTACGACTCTGCTCTCCTCTTATCTCATCTGCGTGTTTTTGGTTGTCTTTGCTATGCTCATAACCAAGACCGCAATGTGACAAGTTTACTACTCGGAGTCGCCGATGTGTGTATGTGGGATACCCGTTTGGCAAGAACGGGTAGAGTCTGTATGATTTGGATCGTCGGATTTTCTTTGTCTCCCATGATGTGGAGTTTCTAGAGATTGAGTTTCCTTATTTGACTATCTCGTCTGAATCTAAATCTCTACCCCTACTTTCTGTCTTGCCGATTTCTTTCAAGCCAGATGATGAAGAGCCTCCGGTGATCTTTGTGCCGCCCATGTCTTCTGACACTCGGGTTGTCCCTCCTGATATGAGTGCGTCCGATGACATGGGGGTTCTCTTACTCCTCCAACTGCACCTTCTCCTTTGTTTGTGCCTTCTCCTCCGGTGGAGTCTTTAGGTCGTGGTCATCGGACTAAGATTCCTTCTACTCGACTAAAGGACTTTGTGGTTGATATTGTGTGTTCTTCGACTACTCCTCCCACTGTTTCTCCCGGGGCGTCTCCATCCTCGGGTACACCTTATCCCATAGCACATTACATTTCTTGTGAGTCTTTCCTCCAGCTTATTGAGCATTCTTAGCTGTTGTCGCCTCCACTGTTGAGCCTCACAGTTTTGCGGATGTCATGACCGACCCTCGGTGGCGAGCTGCTATGCAGGATAACATTCGTGCCTTGAAAAATAATGGCACGTGGGATGTGGTCTCTCTCTCCTCTGGGAAACGTGCTATCGGGTGCAAATGGGTCTTTAAGATGAAACACAAGGCCGGCGTTATTGTAAAATGATATAAAGCGCGTCTGGTAGTTTTGGGGAACAATCAGGTGGAAGGTCTTGATTATCATGACACTTTTGCTCCGGTCGCCAAAATGGTTACAGTCCGACTATTTTTGGTTGTAGCTGCTGCCAAGCGTTGGGAAGTTCCCCAGATGGACGTTCACAATGCTTTTCTGCATAGTGATTTGGATGAGGAGGTATATATGAAGTTCCCGCCTGGCTTTCGTACTGGTGTTGATGGATAAGTTTGTCGTCTCCGTCGTTCTCTATATGGCTTGAAGCAGGCTTCCCGCTGCTGGTTTGCCAAGTTTGCGACGACTCTCAAACATTATGGTTTCTGTCAGTCCTACCATGATTACTCTCTTTTTACCCTGCATCGCGGTTCTTTTCATCTGCAGGTATTGGTCTATGTTGATGATCTGATTATTTCTGGCAATGGTACCTTCTCCATGAAGCTTTTAAGAGTTATTTGAATCGTTGTTTCCACATGAAGGATCTTGGGTGGTTGTTTAAGTATTTTCTACGTATCGAGGTTACCCGGAATGCTTCTGGCTTCTTTCTCTGTCAGCGGAAGTATGCTCTCGATATTATTGCTAAAGCCAGGCTATTAGGAAGCAAACCAGTTGATTTCCCGTTGAAGCAGAATCATCAGCTTCCTCTCGCTGAGGGTGCTCTCTTGTCCGATCGTGAGCGCTATCGGCGCTTGGTAGGGCAACTTATTTATCTAGCAGTTACTCGTCTTGAGTTGTCCTACTCTGTGCATATGCTTGCTCAGTTCATGCATCAACCACGACAGTCTCACTGGGACGCTGCACTGCGTGTGGTCCAGTATTTGAAGGGATCTCCTGGTCAGGGGATCCTTCTTTGTTCTGACTGTGATCTTCAACTCTATACGTGGTGTGATTCGGATTGGGCGACTTGTCCTCCCACTAGACGATCTCTTTCGGGTTGGTTTGTTCAGCTTGGTCAGTCTCCTGTTTCTTGGCGTACCAAGAAACAACATACTGTTGCTCGATCTTCTGCTGAGGCTGAATATCGAGCAATGGCTACTACCTTGTGCGAGCTGAAGTGGTTACGGGGATTGTTGTCTTGTCTTGGTGTCACTCATTCTAAGCCTATGCAGTTGCATTGTGACAGTCAATCCGCTCTGCATATTGCTGCGAATTCGATTTTTCACAAGTGCACTAAACACATTGAGGTGGATTGTCACTTTGTTCTACTTATATTTTCTCTGACGCATAGCTGGCTGACATATTTACCAAGGCGCTTGAAAAACATAAATTTGATTTCTTTCTTGGCAAGTTGGGCATTCGGAATCCGCATGCTCCAACTTAAGAGGGGTGATATTGTGTATTATATTTTTATTAGCTATTATAGTAATTAGGTATACTTATGGTAATTGTAATCCTAAAACTGGATATATATATTCAGTTTTATTTTACAGCGGATCATTGAGAATAGATGGTCGTCACCGTATTTCTCTCTTGTCTTTAGCACCTTCCAAAGTCAAGAGTCTGTGGGGTTTGAAGATAATGATTTGTGGTGATGAAGATTCTGACGATAGGAAAACCACTCATGTTGTATATAAAGAAGTATTTAATAATATTTAAATTCACTTTCTCAAATTATCTTTTTTTTCTCATTAATTAAGTTATTATTTTCATTTTTTGTCTGTATTTTACATTATTTTTTCTCTATTATATCGCTTTCCGTGCAAATACACGAGTTAAAACTAGTTTGATTAAATTTTCTAATAAAATATAAAATTAATTTTAACATAAATTTTAACACTTGTCACATTTTTATTGGCTCCATATTTATTTGTATACAAAGTTATTTCAATCTCTAATCTGAAATCACCTCAAAATGCAGTCTATTTCTAATAAATATGTTACCAGATCAAGTGTTAGAGTAGCAACGACTTGGTCTCCGCGTGCAATCAATAAATGTCAATAGGCCCATCAACACTAAATCTTGTTGACTTGTTACAGGTCCAGGTCAATCATAAAACGCCTTCAACCGACCGAATTACAAGTTATAACGACCGCAAAATCTATATAATTATAGATAAATTTTTAATAAAACTATTTGTTTATCTTTCATAACTTTTGCATTAATTAAATAATTATATATTTTATTTTTTCACTATAGAATAATTACTCCTAATATTAACTAATCTTAAAATCACATTAAATAATATTTTTTCTTTTTCTTTTTTCAAAATCTTTTTTTTTTACTCACTAAGTAATTTTTATTAAATTAGTTAATTATTATTGGGGCATAATCAAGCGCTTTAAAGTTCCTTACACAATAGCTAAATTATTAATTTCAATATTTTTTTTTATCTAATGCATTGGTCAGAATACTCCAATATTGCAAAAAGTACATAATTGCAATCAATATAAAGATTGATGTATAAGGTAAATATTTAATATTTATATTGTTAAATTTTACTAATGACAAAATTTATAAAATATGATATGTTCATATCTGCTTTATGATTTTAAATATTATATGTACATACATATAATATATATAATTCATCTACATTTGTACATGTGTACATAATAGAATCTATACTTATATTAAAAGGTATACCATTTACCAGATTTAGTATAAAGAAAAGTCAACAACATTTATTGCATTACTATTTCCATATTATACAATCTATACTTATATAAAAGGAGATTCTATTTACTATATTTACTATCCAGAAAAGTCAACTGCATTAAATGTCATTACTATTTTGGTATTATAATATTTTATTTATTTAATTGATTTATTTATTTGTTTTATTTTAAAAAGGTAAATATAATAAAAAGATTTTAATAATAAAAAAATCAAATACCAAATAAAAATGTACACTTTGACTTATTTGATTATATTTGGTATTTGATTATACCAAATATATTCCTATTTAGTATATACATTAAATACTTACTAAAGTATTTATTTGTTTTATTTGTCAAAGTTAAGTATAGATTTGTTTATATTATCAAATCATAAAAAAATATTAAATCCATATTGTAAAAAAAAAAATCATATAATTTTATAACAATTCTACTACACTATTTAACAATATTTCTTTTTTATTATATAATAAAATAATAATTAAATATTATATGGTGAACAACAATAAGTAAAACTGTTACTTTCTCTTATATCAAGGGATAAATTTATATGCTAAAATTAAATTTTTATTAGTATAAATGTTTTAGTGAGATAATATATTAATTATTTTACAAGCTAGCCCTAACATGCTCATATTTAATGTTTTAAAAGATGTAGAAAAAAAACTTATAATAACTCTATTGTTTTTTAGACTTAAACGTTGATTAAAAGAGGTAAAAATTCCTAATTTTTTAGACTTAAACGTTGATTAACACCATAGATTGAGAGTTTATATTTAGTAAAATTCCTAATTGTAATAAAAAAATTAATTTTTGCTATATTTTAGAATATCTTTAAATTCATTATAAAAAAAAAAGAAAAAAAACTACAATGAAAAAAGCAAGTCAGCTATATATCGATTTGTTGTACTCCTCAAATCACATTCACAATTTAGCTATAAGGAAAGGAAACTCATTGATTAAAATATTATTTTGTCAGTAGTCTTAATGTACAAGAGACTTTAAGACTCCACTTGAATATTATAAAACTTTTATTGAACATTGTACAATTTTCTTGCGTATTATAAACTTTTATTGAATATTGCATCTTATAATATAATATTCTCCAAATAAATATATCTCGTGCTTTGCACGGGTCACGTACTATATATATCCTGTACATTTTTCATTATTAATGTATATAATTATAAGTCTGGATAAATAACCTTAAAATTGTGCATCTCGTACATCGCACGGGCTCTGTACTAGTACTAGTAATAAGAGTAATTGGTTATTGAACATCATGATAACTTAAATGTGGTGTATTATTTATTTTATCTTTACAAGAAATGTAAATTTCCACCTAAGTTCATGATGTTCCAACTTCCAACAATTGCGTAAACTATTCCAATAATAATAAAAATAAAAGCAATCAATTTTCATCAATCATCATTCAACCATTCTAGGATCAAGTTCTTGTGACTACTTGGACCGGTCAACAAAGTGGAGCAATAAAAACCCAAATTAACCCCCATTTGACCTCAAAATTAGCAAATGCATTGCAAATTCACGGTAGAAACACAAACCAAATACCACTTATCTTGCACTTAGTTTTAATTTCCACATCAATATATCTTGGGAGATATAATAGTCTTGTTCTGCTTACTACTATCTACCATCAAATTACAAAAACTACTCTTTGTTGCACTTAACACTCTACCATCATTATAATACCATTACAACATCTACTTCCTTAAGCCAGTACCATTTCATATATACAATATTGATCCATTACCAAGCATATATATATGCTTGTAAAATATATGTGTATTAGAAGCTGGCTACATCTGTTGTGGTCGATGCCCTTGTGCTAGCTCCGGTGGCTGTAGCTGCCATTTCCGGCAAGTGGCTTTCCCCTTTTCTGGCCATGCCTGCAACTCTCTCTTTTCTCTCATCTTGCTTCATTTGTTGCTCTCTACAATCTAGGCTACAAAATGCAATGTCACCCCTGCATATTCGAAGAAAAAAGAATTGATGATTTTTGATTATTTTGTGGAATGGATTGTTGATGCTTGAAAGAAAAATAACTGAAAAACAATGATTGAACAAGTTCAAACAGTATCATTGATGCTTGCATCTCTACCTCTAATCTGTTATTTAGCTTACACATATTTCTCCTCGAATTATTGTCTGGAAATTGAAATAAAGTAAAATATCATAATCTAAGAGGGTAAAGGGCAAATAGTGAATTTGCGATAGTCCAGAAAAATTCCACGTCCTAAAATCACAATAACATGATCCACAGAGCAACTCACTGAAAGAAATTTAAAATTTAATTAATATAGTCACGCAAATTGATTATTCAATTAACTATGTAATAGCATAAAAATTCAGGAATTTCAAAAAATAATGTGATGATTTTAATAATTCTGGCATCATTCAGAGACTTAAAGTTGGAGGAAAACAAAAAATGAAAAGTTGATGTGTAAATAAAGCATTAATCAGTCAAATTCATCATTAGTATTTTCTTTCCCCTCTCATCGGTTAATCATATATTATACTTCACAACATTCTTTGAAAAAAATAATAGGAAAATAAAGCTTTTACCGATACATATAGATATCATGGCCGGAGGCCAAGCGGCGGTGGCAGCGGCCGCAGATCTTTAAGAAATCAGCCGTCTCGAAATGCTCGCCGCCGCCGGAAAAGCTCTTCCCCAAGTACCTCGGCGGCAGCAAGCCGTTGTACCCGCTGCTAGATTCACTTCCGACCATCGCCGCCAGCTGATTGGGCGGCGCCGCCACCTCGGGGACCCCGACGTCGAACGTGACACCCGCCGTGGTCGCCGTCGTCCTGAAAACCGGCTGGCCGCGCTTGCCCAGCGTCATGTGTTTGGTTCAAATTGATTTCTCACACTCGAGTGTGTGCCTTTGTGTGTGGGAAACAGAAAAGTGAGTGAGACTTGAGTCGATTTCTGGCGAGATTAATAGAAGGTGGGAGTGAATGTGGGCCGTCAGATGATGAAGCGCAGATAAATCACCAAGCGTCCACGTCAGCCATCATTTTCGGGTTGTTTGGCAATTTGTTTCTCCTTTTCTTAACTCCTTTTCGTAACTCTCTATTTCCATTGGTTTCCTAACTTTCGTCTCTCTGTAAGGAATAATTGTAGAAAGAGAGTAACTAATTGTGTTTCAGAATTTGGGGTGCTGCTTGTTGAATTTTGTAGGCTTCATACTATTTCTCGTCATTTTATATTTGTAAGGTGTTCAAATTCAATTTACTATCGCTTTCAATCGTCAATGATATTAACATTTACTATTATTTTATTTAATTAAGTATAAACTAGTATAATCCCCGTGTATTACACGGGTGTTGAATTAAAAAGCTTTTATAAAAAATATTAATTTTTTTTTTTAGAAAAAACTAAAATAATTTAATTTTACATAAAACATTACTTTGAGTTTTAATTAAATTTTCAATTTATATTTTTTTTTATCATAATAATTAAACATCTGTATATTAAAAGAAAATGTCAACCCGTATTGAGTTTTTTACTTATATCATATAAAAATATCGGTATTATGTACTATTACATAAGTACAAAAATATATATCTTAAATAAATAGAAATTACATGGTGGACTCTATCCATAACCTTTTATTGAAAATTCCTTCTTCTCTCCCGTAAAATCCCCTCTTCTCAGCTCGAAACCCTAGCCTCGTCGCCGGCGATTTGTCCCCTCTCAGCGGCCATCCGACAAGCCGGTGAACTGGTCTCCACCGCGCGTCCACGCCTCTATGGGCGGCACTCTACCTTCATCTCGCTAACAGTTGGGTGAGGATGGTGGTCCTAGGCGGATTTCGTAGATCTGTGCCTGTCGATCGCCGGAGCTTCCTGGTAGTAAGGTGGGTGGAGGGTTGTACCAGAGGATGGATGTGGCTCACGTTGCTTGTGGCTCCTTTGTCAGAATGTCTCCCATTTCTATCAATTCCGACGGGCTTGCTTCCGGATCCGTCCACTTCTCTGTTCGCCGGTTCTCTGGTGCGGCAGCGGGTGGGCGGGGTTTGGACTTTGGTGATTGGGATGAGAGCTCGGGGTCGGGCTTTGGTCGGGGCGTCTCTTCTCGCCGGGCTTGGAGGTTAAACCGGCTGTGGATTTTCGGGCTCTACCGGATTGTGGGTCGGGGTTTGTACTTTCGGGCTGGGTGGATTGGTGGTCGTTTCGGGCTGGGTTCGTCCCTTCGGGCTGGGTTGATGCAGCAGAGCGTTGACGCCATACTCCCCCTTCCTCTTATTTCTCTGTTCCAGACCTTGTGAGAGGCCGACCGTTTCCGGATTTGGCTAGTGGTGTTAGGCAGGGTTCGGGACGGTGTCGGATTGTCTAGTGGTGTTAGACGGTTGGGGGGTGATTGTGGTTTCTTGCGGCTGGGATGCGAGTCGGTTCTTTCGGATTGCTATGAGGTTTGGGTCATCGTCTTGCTAGGCCTTCTGCAGTGGCGGGGGTGGTATCTGAGCTTCGGAGCTCTCATCGGAAGCGGCTTTGTATACTGTATTGTTAGGATGTTCCTGCTGAGGGAGGCAGTGTTTTTTAGATAGTAGTTGTTTTGTTTTGTGTCAGTTCATGTGTTTTTGGCCTGGGTGTTTGCTTGTGTATCCATGTCCTGTATTTTTGGTTTGGGTCGTTGGCCCCTGTGAGCCCGAGTGTCAACCTTATTACCCTGTTGGGGCCCGACACTCGGGTAGTTCCCTGTTGGGGCCTTTATGTCGTTGTTTTTTTGTGTTTTGTAGTGTTTTTGAGTATTACCTCGTTGGGGTCGGTTCTAGGCAGTCTTTTGACCTATCCTCCCACTTTTTCAGCTATTGGCTGCTTGTATTCAGCTGTTAAAAGAATACATATCAATTTCTATTACTTTATAATATACTTTATAATTTTATTTGACATAATTTAATTTAGTTTGATAAATAAATTTAAATTTTATTTATAAGGATATATATTACTGTTTTGTATTATATATATATATATATATAAATAAAAAGTAACAGATAAACGGACTTCATAATATCTATTCAAATGCAACACACTAATTAAGATTTTTTTTCTTGACAATATTAACCCTATTTAATGGATGTTATGGGAAATGATGGAGATGGGATATGAAGAGACACTGTGTATTAGATGGGGGGTTAAAAATAGAAAAATATGAACAAAATATCTAAAAAGACATTTATTTTATCAATAATCAATTAAGCCAAAGTGACAAATAATAAAAATATGAGGGAGTATATATTCTTATATATTTTCGTATGACACATGTTATTTGTGCGACTTAGATGTCTACCTTATAACATATAACTATATTAAACATTAATATACTAATTGATAAATAATTTTATTTTCTAAATAATTGTAATAAATAATTTTATTTTTATTATAAAGATAAATATAATTTATTTATTTTATATATACAATATGGATGTCAAATCAAAGCTCATCAAAAGCTGATTAATTTAATATATTATATATGTAAAACCGATAAGAAATACAAAAGTTATCAACTTTTAAAATATATTTGCAAAGTTTTTTAACTTTATATGTAAGTTTAGAATTTATATAAATAATTATTTATTTTTATTACATTGACAACATAACAATTAAATTTGAAATAAATATCATTTTTAAAAGAATACATATCAATTTCTATTACTTTATAATATAATTTATAATTTTATTTGATATAATTTAATTTAGTTTGATAAATAAATTTAAATTTTATTTATAAGGATATATATTACTGTTTTGTATTATATATATATAAAGTAACATATAAACGGACTTCATAATATCTATTCAAATGCAACACACTAATTAAGATTTTTTTTTCTTGACAATATTAACCCTATTTAATGGATGTTATGGGAAATGATGGAGATGAGATATGAAGAGACACTGTGTATTAGATGAAAGGTTAAAAATAGAAAAATATGAACAAAATATCTAAAAAGACATTTATTTTATAAATAATCAATTAAGCCAAAGTGACAAATAATAAAAATATGAGGGAGTATATATTCTTATATATTTTAGTATGACACATATTATTTGTGCGACTTAGATGTGTTATATTATAATAAATTTTCTACCTTATAACATATAACTACATTAAACATTGATATACTAATTGATAAATAATTTTATTTTCTAAATAATTTTAATAAATAATTTTATTTTCATTATAAAGATAAATATAATTTATTTATTTTATATATACAATATGGATGTCAAATTGAAACTCATCAAAAGTTGATTAATTTAATATATTATATATAAAAAACCGATAAGAAATACAAAAGTTATCAACTTTTAAAATATATTTGCAATTCAATGGTTATAATAGGAAATGATATTAAAATACAATTAATACAAATATTAATTTATATCCGAGTCTAACTCCAAAGCATGATTTTTTGCCAAATAGAATTACGAAGCATGAGAATTTGCCACGTAGGCTCAGCGCATTCTGAAATTATATATAGAGAGGATACATTATTATTGATCATATAGGCATATATGATCAGGGACGGAGGGAGATGAGGCCCAGGGAGGCCCATGGGCCCCTCTGTTTTTTTTTTTTAAAGTTACATATATATATATATAGGGATTGGTTCCAATGCATCCCATTATTTAAAGTGAGAATGTGAGACTCATTCCTAGCCACAAGATTTAGATCTTGATTTAAATAATAATTTTTTATATTTATTATTTAATTCTTTATTTTTAATTATTTAAATATTATTATGACCATTGACCGTTGACTCCGGCGTTGACTTCCGGCGAAAATCGTTGACTTCCGGCGTTGACCGTTGACTTCCAGCGTTGACCGTTGACTCCGGCGTTGACTTCCGGCGTTGACCGTTGACCATTTGTTTTTTGTTATGTTATTTCTTTCTTGTTAGGTTAGTTGTGTCTTGTTGCTAGGTTAGTTGTTTGCTGTTGCTAGGTTAGTTATTTGTAGCTGCTATGTTAGTTGAGTTTTGTTGCTAGGTTATTTTTTTCTTGCTGCTAGGTTAGTTGTCTTTTGTTGCTAGGTTAGTTCTTTCTTGCTGCTAGGTTAGTTGTCTGTTGCTGCTAGGTTAGTTGTCTTTTGTTGCTAGGTTATTTCTTTCTTGCTGCTAGGTTAGTTGTCTTTTGTTGCTAGGTTATTTCTTTCTTGCTGCTAGGTTAGTTGTCTTTTGTTGCTAGGTTATTTCTTTCTTGCTGCTAGGTTAGTTGTCTTTTGTTGCTAGGTTATTTCTTTCTTGCTGCTAGGTTAGTTGTCTTTTGTTGCTAGGTTATTTCTTTCTTGCTGCTAGGTTAGTTGTCTTTTGTTGCTAGGTTATTTCTTTCTTGCTGCTAGGTTAGTTGTCTTTTGTTGCTAGGTTATTTCTTTCTTGCTGCTAGGTTAGTTGTCTTTTGTTGCTAGGTTATTTCTTTCTTGCTGCTAGGTTAGTTGTCTTTTGTTGCTAGGTTATTTCTTTCTTGCTGCTAGGTTAGTTGTCTTTTGTTGCTAGGTTATTTCTTTCTTGCTGCTAGGTTAGTTGTCTTTTGTTGCTAGGTTATTTCTTTCTTGCTGCTAGGTTAGTTGTCTTTTGTTGCTAGGTTATTTCTTTCTTGCTGCTAGGTTAGTTGTCTTTTGTTGCTAGGTTATTTCTTTCTTGCTGCTAGGTTAGTTGTCTTTTGTTGCTAGGTTATTTCTTTCTTGTTGCTAGGTTAGTTGTGTTTTGTTGCTAGGTTAGTTTTTCTTTCTTGTTGCTAGGTTAGTTGTGTTTTGTTGCTTGGTTAGTTGTCTTTGTTGCTAGTTTAGTTGTTTTTCTTTCTTGTTGCTAGGTTAGTTGTGTTTTGTTGCTTGGTTAGTTGTCTTTGTTGCTGCTAAGTTAGTTGTGTTTTGTTGCTAGGTTAGTTGTCTGATGTCTGATGCTGCTAAGTTAGTTTAGGTTAGTTGTGTTTTGTTGCTTGGTTAGTTGTCTTTGTTGCTGCTAAGTTAGTTGTGTTTTGTTGCTAGGTTAGTTGTCTGATGCTGCTAAGTTAGTTGTGTTTTGTTGCTGGGTTAGTTGTCTGATGTTGCTAAGTTAGTTGTATTTTTTTTTATAAAAAAATTGTAACCCATAGGATTTGAACCTGGTACCTCATGGAGGCAAGACAAGCAATGCAACCACTACACCACTCAAGGTTG